TTCCCTTCCCTTTCACTTGGGCTCCTCCTTCCTTCCCGCTGGGTCTTGGGAAGCTGGGAGACAGCCTCCCACCTTTCCTTTGCTTTCCTCCTGTGTAGCAAGTCTGTGTCTCCTGTATAAAGGCCCACTGGTTAGAGGACAAGAACTACTTTTAGTTCCACTTGGGAGCTAGAGCATCTGGCTTTACTGCTACACTTAAGACTGCCAGGTGTTGGATACCTGCTGGGTGTCGGATGTTGTGAAGGCCCTTCCATACGTGATTCCACTGAGTCCTCACCACAATCCAGGGAGAAGAGCATTATTTCCTCCATGCTGTGGACGAGTCTGAGGAGGAACCTTGGGTGGAAGTTCTGGCCTGCTGCTCTGTGGTTCGGATCTTCAGGTGCCCTTGAGGAGCTCAGAGTCGGTTGTGAAGATGAGCCACTCCTGCCCAGCCTCGAGGTGAAATGAAGTGTAACGGTGTCTGTCAAACCTGAACTCTTGGCTTCATAGGGAACCCCCAACATCAGCCTACATTAATAAATTGTTATTTAAATATGCATGTTTAATAAATCGTTATTTAAATATGCTCAGATATAAATGACATACATTTCCTATTCTTCTACTATTTTAGACTATTTCCTTACATGCATATACACATATGTTATTTTTAAAGAGTTATTTAATTTTATTTTTATTTAAAATTTTTTCCTATAGGGCATGTGCATTCACCAGAGAGAGAGAGAGAAAGAGATAGGGAAAGTAAGAAAGTGAGCTGCGGGACCAGCAGTTAGCATAATGGCTATGTCACTGGACTCCCATGTAGTCGACCATGGTTCAAGTCCTGGACCCGGTGGCTTAAACTCACGCTGGGCACATGTGCATGCATGCCCAAGATCCCGAAAGGAGAATGGAAGAGAAGGGATTGTGGCATGGCCACCCCCCGGGGGGGGGGGTTTCTCGCCTTCTGTTTCTCTGTCTCTCTCTGTCTGTCTGGCGAGCGCATGCACCCTATAGCAAAATTCTCTCCAAAAAAAGAAAAAAATAAAAAAGAAAGTGAGCTGCCACAGTCAGCCATGTGGGGGTCCAGCACCTTAACCACCACACCACCTGCTAGCTCCCATACACATGTATTTGGATATTATTTTATGTAGATTGGTAGTATACTTTTTTAATTGCCCATACATCAGCCTTTTCCCCATGCCAGTAACAAAATTAGAAAAATTGATGTTTTTTAACTTCTGCACCAATATATGGGATTTCTCCCCACTTTCAACTGACGTCTATATAGGCAGTTAGGTGTTTTGGATTCATGCTGCTACAAAGCACACTGTAGCATACATTTTTTTACATTAACCATTGCCTGCTTTTCTGATTATTTTCTGCACGTTAATACTTGGAATGTAAAATTACTGGATCAAAGGGCACAAGCATTTTCAAAGTTTTTTTTCTTTTTTTTTAGATTTTTGCCTTATGATTTGTGTGCTCACTAGAGAGAGACAGGGATAGAGAGAGGGAAAGTGAGAAATCACCCCCAAGGGGGGATGGTCCCACTGCAATCCCTTCTCTATTCTCCTCTTGGGATTTTGGGCACACACGCGCACACACACACGTGCGTGATTTTCAAGTCACCAGGTCCAGGGTTCAAACTGTGGTCGACCATGTGGGAGTCTAGTGCCTTAACACCACCTGCTGGCCCCTTCAAGGTTTTTAATAGACATATATCTCCAGAAAGACTGAATGAGTTTGTCTACTTCTTTTTTCCTTAGGAATTATTTACATAATTTATTATTATTTTAAAAAATTGAGTAGAGAGAGGCAAAGATGACAGAGAAAGAGAGAGAAAGAAACTGAGAAAGCAAGCTGTCAAGGACAGGACTTGAACCACGGTCGACCATGTGGGAGTCCAGAAACTCAACCACCACTTCACCTGCCGGCCTCCAACTTTGTCTACTCTGAGCTTGAAAGATCATTTTAGGGCGCCAGAGGTGTGAAGAAGAAAGTGGCATTGGAACCAGGGCTTCAGAAGCTGGTGGGAGTTGTACCGTGAGGATCATGGGTGGGCAGATGGTGCAAGCAGCCTCATGGGAGGACAGAACAGGTGCAGGGGTTGGGGGCCCGCATTGTCATTCAGCGGGAGCTGTGTCCCTCAGTGTTTTTGTGGCTCGAGCACACTTTGAATGCTTGGACTTGGCAGAACATAGAAGGCAATTAAAATGTTCCAGATGTGAAGAAACACAGCCACAATGCCAGCGTGTCCCCGTGTGGGTAACTCTAAGTATCCAAGGGCACTGTCGCCGTCGCATCAGTTCTGGTTCTTCTCGGTTCTGTGTCGCTGTTGGAATGGAACCGTCTACTGTCTCATCATGGCCTCTAATATGACAGCACGGTGTTCTCACGTGTTCTAGAAAACAGGCTGTCTTGCCATGTTGCCCATTGCTGCTGCCACCCATGACCAGCTGGGCTCTGCATTCCTCTTGGTAGGCCTCCCGCTGGAGTGCAGTATTGTGGTTAAGAGAAGTTAAGAGAGAACCCGGGTTACCTGTGTCTGAATTCCAGCTCTGCCATGTACCAGCAGCATGACCTTGGACAGGTGAACTTCTTGGTGTTTCAATTTCTGCGGTGTAAATGGGGCTAATGATGTTTCCTGTCTTGACAGGGCTACCTGTCCTCAAATGACTTAATACACAACGCTATATGCAGAATAAGAACCTTTAATAAATGCTAACTTTTTTTTTCTTGAGAGGTTTTTGCTATAGGGCACATGCGCTCGCCAGAAAGAGAGAGATAGAAAGCGAAAAATCACCCCCCAGGGGAGATGGCCAAGCTGCAATCCCTTCTCCTCCATTCTCCTCTTGGGATCTTGGGCATGCATGCACACATGCCCGACTTGTGTTTAAGCCACTGGGTCTGGGACCTGAACCACAGTTGACTATATGGGAGTCCAGTGACATAGCCATTATGCCAACTGCTGGTCCCAATAAATGTTAACTATTATATTATGTTAGCCTTACTTTGACCCACTGGTCAGAACTGGCAGCACACTTACAAAGGGTTATGGTGTGGCATTCTGTCTGCTGAGACTGGAGGACGAGCTCCTGCCTCCTTCCCACTTGGACTCCCAGCTCCAACAGATACGTGGAGAAGAGGAAATATTTCTTTTTAGCTTTGTCAGAGGCTGAATAGACTCTCGTGGTGCGTACCCACATAAAGTGTAAGAGTGGCCACAAGCACAAATAACAATTGCTTTAGGCCTTCTGCTTTCATAATGCACAGTCCTCCAGCTGATGGCTAAGAAGTAAATGGCATCAAGATGGAAAATACTCGGGTTTGATTTCAGCAATTTCTAAAAGTTGAACTGTAAAAGTAAGAACACTAAAAAGGTCATTTTTAAATGGAACCAGCCACCTTGAAAAATATCCTTACAACATGGTTAAAACTTTAGACAATAAAACTTTTAATACTTCACAAAGTAACAAGATAAAAATGTTTGTTGGCTTCTCAGGATCAAGACTATCTGGGCTCCGACGGGCCTCGGTGCCTGGGCTGCCGCTCAGACACACACCACGGTCACACCGGCTTTTGGTCCATGGACACGGGCAGGTAGGACGACTCTTGAAATAGGCCTTCGCTTTTGTTTGTTTGGACATTAAAGGGCACACGCGCTCACCAGAAAGGGAGGGAGAGAGAGTAAAGGAAGTGAGAGCACCCTCCGGGGGAACGGCCATCCTGCCGTCCCTTCTCCTCCGTGCTCCTTCCAGGACTTTGGGCACATCCACGTGCCCGGTGTGATGTCCAAGCTGCCGCTCTGGGATTGGACTGTGCAGTGAGCCGTGCTGGATCCAGTGCCCTCACCTCCAGAAGCCTTTGCTTTCATTATGCGTTCGGCCTCACGATCTTCATTGACAAATAGTTCTGAAAAAGAAACGGAAACAGTGTTAAATAAATAAAATGTACTTATAAATAAAATATATTCAATTTAAACTCTATATAAACTATATATTATTATATTTACTAAAATATTGTATGTATATGTGTGTGTGTGTATATATATATATATATATATATATATATATATATATATATATATATATATATATATATATATATATATATATATATATATATATATATATATATATATATATATATATATGTATTTATCCAGAAAGGTCATATGCATATGTATAAATGTGTACATTTATATATATTTAAGCTAAGATTTATTTTTTTAAAAGAATTATTCCATTTGACTTTATTTATCCATTCATTTATTTATTTTAATTTGACCAGAGAGGGACAGAATGAGAGTATGAGAGAGAGAAAAAGAGAGAAAGCAAGCTGCCAGGTCTGGAACTCGAACTGTAGTTGGCCATGTGGGAGTCCAGCGCCCTCAACCACCATACCATCTGCTTGACCCCCTAAGCTAAGATTTCTTAGCCTGGGCCTTGCTGACTCTCAGGACCAGATGATGTCTTCCTTTGTGGGGAATGTTCTGTGCCTTGCAAGATGTTTAGTCCATCCCTGGCCTCTTTCCACCAGATGCCAATAGCAGCCCCCTGCCCCGAGCTGTGACAACCAAATGTCTCTGGACATTAAAGGATGTCTTCTGGGCAAGGAGCAAAATCCCTGCCCCTACGTCAGAACCACTGGTTTAAATCAACAGAATCTAAATCAGGAAAAATGAATCACTACGAAGAGTGTTGTAAATGGTTGAGACGGATTGGACTATCTACAGCTAGAGACTAATGTTCTTGGGGTTGGCAGGTGGTGTGATGGTTGAGGCACTGGATTCTCACATGGTCAACCATGGTTCAAGTCCCAGACGGGGCAGCTTGCTTTCTTACCCCCCCCTGCCCCCCCCCTCACTCTCTCTGTTTAAATTAAAAAAAAAATGATGATGATGATGAATACAACTAAAAAAGAAATTCTTTATTAACAAAAAGGGAGCTGGCAGGTGGTGTGGTGGTTGAAGGCATTGGATTCCCACATGGTTGACTGTAGTTCCAGCCTTGCACTTGGTGGCTTGCTTTCTCACTTTCCCTTTCTGTCTCTGGTCAAATTAAAAAATTGAGACCAGCAGTTAGCATAATGGCTGTCGCTGGACTCCCATGTAGCCAACCGCAGTTTGAGTCCCAGACACAGTGGCTTATACTCATGCCGGGCGCGTGTGCGTGTGCGTGCGTGCCCAAAATCTTGAGAGAAGAACGGAGGAGAAGGGACTGTGGCATGGCCAACCCCCTGGCGGGTGATTTCTTGCTTTCTGTCTCTGTCTCTTTCTGTCTTTCTGGCGAGCGCACACATCCTATAGCAAAAACCTCTCAAAAAAAATCAAATAAATATTTTAAAAAGAAAAGAATATTCCTATAGTTGCCTGGCTGGAAGTGTTACACCGGCACACCAGAGCCAGCCCTGCAGGTGTGAGTATACCTGCAGCTAGATGTACAGACTGTCTCTGTGGGTGGACAGGACTTGGGGTCGGAGTTCTGAAGCCTCCTGCGGCATCAGTGCCACCTGTCTTATGGCCATTTGTGAGAGCTCTGGAGTCCCGGAGCATCTCGCCTTCCACACTGACATACTTTGGATGCCTGCATTCTCAGTTTGTGACCTTCTGCGGCACTGGTGCCACCTGTCTTACGGCCATTTGTGAGAGCTCTGGAGCCCCGGAGCGGCTCGCTTTCCGCACTGACATACTTTGGACGCCTGCATTCTTGGTCTGTGAGGTGTTGCTCATGGCAGAGCTCAAGCCTAGGTCATCTCAAGATCCTAGGTCCTAACCCTGGTAGAGCAGACGCTTCATAATTCTCTGAGTGGAGGAAAGAGGTACTATCTCCTCACACACTGCCAACTCTCACAGTGGGACTTCTGTTTATGATCACCGTGGTTAAGGGGAGTTTGGGGGGAGCTTATATGTGACATGGACCCTCAAGAATGAGTAAGATTTTTTTTTTGGAGAGGTTTTTGCTATAGGGTGCGTGCGCTCGCCAGACAAAGACAGAAAGAGAGAAATCACCCCCAGGAGGGATGTTCATGCCTCAATCCCTTCTCCATTCTCCTCTCAGGATGTTGGGCACGCATGCACATGTGCCTGGCGTGAGTTTAAGCCACCGGATCCGGGACTCAAACCGCAGTCAACTACATGGGAGTCCAGTGACATAGCTATTACACCTTCTGCTGGTCCCCAAGAACAAGTAAGATTTTGATTGTCAAAATGGGTGCCAAGGAACATCACTAATCCAGGACAGGGCAGGAGGTGCCTGTGTATCCGGGGGAAGCAAATTATCTACTTGGAGTGGGGTACAGGGTTGGTGGAGGTCTATGATGAGCCCCAATTTGGAAGCCTGTGAAGGCTAGGGCAAGGAGTTTGGTGCAGGGTGGCTTGGAACAAGGAATTCTGGTGGCAAGAAGATCAGGAGGAAGCCCTGGTTGTCACCCAGACCTACATTGAAAGAGGCCTGAGTGGTTTCTCCTGCCATTCCTGAAACTGAAGTTGTTACTGTGTGTGTGTGTGTGTGTGTGTGTATGTGTATTGTGTGTATTTTTTCCCCAAAACCATAAAGTTTTGCCTATAATTTGTGAACCCCTAAGAATGCATTTCTCATCACAGGACATGCCAATCTAAATTCTCCAAAATGGAAGGTGCACCCCAAGTGCTAAGTGGAACATTCTTCTGAACAGCAATGTAGGCAATGGCGACTTAGATGATGCCGCAATCCACGCGTGCGCGCGCACGCACACACACACACACACACACACACACGGTCATGCTGGGAGGCCAAGGGTGCCCACCGGCAAGGAGTAGAGCAGCACAGCCAGGAAGAGCAGCAGGATGAGCAGGATGAGCAGGCCGATGATGAGCCACTTGAACCGGCGCCACACGATGAACCTCATGGTCTTACACGGGTTGGTGAACCAGAGGAAGGAGGTTTCCGGCCGGCTGCATTGTGAAAACAACAAAGGCATTACCGACAGGACTCCGTAGAAACCAGTCATTGAACTCTGAGCGTAACGGTTTAAGGAACACGAAGCTGAGCATTCCTAATCCCCCAATCTGAAATCTGAAATGCTGCAACATCTGCAACTTTTGAGCACTGACATCAAACCATGAGTGGAAAATTCCAGACCTGACTGCCAGGAGAGGTCGGAGTCAACATCTGCGACACAAAACTACCATGTGAAATGACCCTCGGGCTGTGTGTACGAGGTGTAGACGAAACATCAGTGAATTTCACATTTACATCTGGGCTCTATCCCCAAGATATCTCATTATATATATGCAGATATTCCAAAATCTGAAAAATTCCCAAATCTGAAACACTCACTTCCGGCCCCAAGCATATTGGAGAAGGGGTACTCAACCTATACTAGCATGTACAAGGTTAAGCAAAGACACGACTCCTCTTAGTTGGCTGGGAAAGACTCTTTTTCCTGTCATAGCTTTCTTAGATGCTGCAGACACAGTCCATGTTGGTTTCGTAGGAAAGAAGAAGGGTTAAAATGAAGCCAGATCACCAGCCCTTCACCCTTCCTCTCTATTATTAAGTACAAATGAGAAGGACCCCGGCTAATCCATCCCATTAAGCCAGTCGGAAGGGGGGCTTTCAGACTGCAGGTGTTAGGGATCAGACAATGTGGAGAACAAAGAGGGCCTCTCACTTTGGGGGGTCCAACTTGGGGTTCATGTTGGGTTCATCTCGTCCCTTCCCGGCTGGCCTCTCGTCGGCCTCCTTCTCATTGACGACCTCCAATGTCATCTCCACTTTCCCCTTCGGTAAAGCAGCACAGGTTAAACAATGACATCACGCTTCACAAATATTTTCACTTCAGCCCAAAGAGTATTCCCTAAGCAATGATTTTTATTCTTGTAAAACAATCCTTAGATTGCCTTCGATTTTCCTCAAGAGATTTCATCACATTTCCTCTTCCACGGGGTTCTGAACGGGCTCTCTATGGGGAATCCAGAGGACAAATTGCCTTCCCTCCTCTCAGCTCTTTCACCCTCCTCCTTCCCATCCCATTCTCACTTACTCACATCAATCTCCTTGCCTTTTCTCACACCTTCCTTTGTAACTTTACTGGGACCCAGACTGATCTGAAATCTGCTAGTGACAGTGTCTAACGTCACTGGGCGTGAGCTGCAGCTCCAGGACAGCAGAGTCACGTCCTGTCAAGCTTACCACTGCGCACTCCTGTGGCATAGAGTAATGGGCGCTTCAAACATGAGCTGAATAAATGAATGTATGAGTGAACGAGTGAGCAGCGCTTCCCGCTGACAGGTTCCTGAGAGGAGCTCCAGGCTCTGCTTAAGCCTTCTGCATGGGACCTCTCATGTCAGGCTCTGGCCGCCCTACGCAGCTCTCGCTATTGTCCTCCCGTGCAGGTGAGAACACAGAAGCAGAGATGAGAGAGGTCTAGAAACTTGCTCACCTTTAAAAACGTAGGGTGTTCGTGCTCACCAGAGAAAGACAGTGAGAGCAGAAAAGTGAGAAATCACCCCCAGGGGCGATGGCCACAGCTGCAATCCCTTCACCTCCCGGCATTTTGGGCACACACACACACACACCTGGCGTGATTTTCAAGCTGCTGGGTCTGGGACTAGAACCATGGTTGGCCATGTGGGAGCCCAGCACTGTAACCATTAAGCCACCTGCTGCCCCCAACCTCGCCCACCTTTATACCCAGGCTTAACTAACATTGTAACAGACTTTTAGGACCCAGGAAAGCTCGCAAGGTTACCACTGATTAGAGAGGCCCTGAGGCTGATGCGTGAGTGAGAGTGGATCTCAGATGGTGCTTGTGAGTCCAACAGAGCCTGACCCCTGCCTTGGCGAGCTATGAGAGCCCTCCAAGCCTGTTTTCTCAATCAATAAAATGGAAATAATGTCTATCTCATGGGGTTGTCAGCAGAATTAAATAAAACCAGTGCAGACTAATCGACAACGACAGAAAGTAGATAGTGATTTCCTGTAGGTGTGGTGGAGGGAGGGATGGGCTGCAGAGGGTGCAAGGAAGATTTTGGGGCTCTGGGAAGGTTCTGGATCTTGATTATGGTGGTGGTTTCATGGGTGCACACATCTGTCAAAATTCCTTGTACTTTAAATGGGTGCAGTTAATCATACGTAAATTATACATGAAGCTTTATAAAACAAGATTATGCATGTAAGGCACTTAACACGCTGCCTGGTTCATAGCAGGGATGGAAGATGCTAGCTATGAATAATACATAATGAACTAGGTAGTTTTTTGTGACGTGGCATTAACATATGCCATTGCTTCTGTATCAAAATGCAGCTTGAGTTTCCCAGCTGTGCTTATAAATTATGGCTTCCAGTGGATACCAGCACTCCCTGCTCTCTCCACCTCTGAATTGATCGATTTGTTTTAATGAGAACAGCTCAAATGTGAAGTTCCTCTTTCCATACTGAATTATACTGGAAGCCCAACATAAATGAATCTTCCTGGTAAAAAAGAGTCCTAAAGAATTAGGGGCTAGCAGGTGGCATGGTGACTGGGGAGTTGGACTCCCACATGGCTGACCACAGTTCAAGTCTTGGACCTGTTGGCTTGCTTTTTCACTTTTCCTTTCTCTGGTAAAATTAAAAAAATATAAAAACAAATAAAATAAATAAATAATGCTTAAGAAAGAAAGAAATAGTAAAGCCATTAGGGTTCCTCGTGTTTTGACCATTGCAACCCCTGAGCTTTCCCCCAAATCCAACACATACAGCACGCCCCACCCTCTCTTGTCATCAGGGACAAACCCTTCTCATAATTGAACATCTTTGCTATTTAACACTACTCCCTGACCTTTTCTGGAGTAAACCTACTGAGAAAAGGCAAAACCTAAATGATAACAGGAATAAGCCACCCCTGACAAGGAAATGCCCGTACAGCCATCACGCGGGAGCCATCTTTATCTGTGTAGCATGGCCACCATCCTTTCATGGACTTCTGTTCAAAGAGCGAGACGGTCTTAGCTTTCAGGGGGTCCATGGCTTTGAGGTCCGGAATCATGTCCAAGTTGCATTTCTCCGATGATTTTGCTGGCACGATTGTGCGATGCAAATCTAGTTCCAGGAAACCTAGCCAAGGGAACAACATGAAATCCAAATGAGCATCAAGTGGGTCAGCCGTCCTTCCCGCCAGAGAGGCCAACAGTGGTTTCGAACAGGAGATGGGCGTGTTAGAGAAAAGGGACCCTGCTAGATATTAACATGCTTTCCAGATAGGATGGAGAAGGGCAGACGACATTGCTGCCCACCGCGTAGCATCTCACAGAGGACTACATGTTTCCTTTCTCAAAGACACAAGCTAAAGAGTTCTTCCACAAACTCTAGGTAACTCAGTGTCTATAGACAAAATTTCCACTGACGTCAGAGTCGCGGGATTAGAAATGTGCTCAGTTCTGTTCTGAGCTGGCCTGAGAGAGAAGTCACTTGGCTTTGGGTAAAGAAGACAACTGGTGCTTGGAGCGTGGGAGGAAGCTGCGCAGACCACGCACGTCCAAGTGTTCCTGGTGTGACCTGAGCAGCAGGCGCTCAAGAAGGAACATAACATCTCTCGGAAACCCTCGCCAGGAACTAAGAAGCCTTGCCTCCATCACTGTCTGGAGAAACACGTTTTCTCTTGTGCAATGTGAGACATTAACTCTTTCTTTTCTTTTCCTTCTTTTCTTTTGAGAGAGGTTTTTGCTAGAGGGCGTGTACACTCACCAGAGAGACAGAGAGATGGAAAGTAAGAAATCATCACCCAGAGGAGATGGCCACACAGCAATCCCTTCTCCATTCTCTTGGGATTTTGGGCACGCACGCACATGCGCCAGGTGTGAGCTTTAAGCTGCTGGGTCCGGGACTCGAACAGCAGTCAACTACATGGGAGTCCAGTGATGTAATCATTACGTCATCTGCTGGTTCCTCTTTCATTTTTTTAAAATCTTTTTGCTACAGGGTTGTCAGGGTGACCTGAAAGTGGTTGTCACTGACAGTGATGGAGACACCAGTACCCCTTTGGCTCTTCCCTTCATCACCAACTAATGTTAGAGATTTAAAAATTGCTTGGGGCCAGCAGGTGACACGGTGGTCGAGGTGCTGGATTCCCACATGGCTGACTGTGGTTAGAGTCCCAGTCCTGGTGGTTTGCTTTCTCTCTCTCTGTCTCTCTGTTTCTCTCTCTCTGGTGAATGCACATGCCCTATAGCAAATTAAGAAATAATACTATGAATAAAATTAAATAACTCTTTAAAAATTGCTTCTAAGTTTTAATTGATATCACTAATTTCAAGTATAGTTTCCTGGAGAAAATGATCCAAATGTAAGGCATACCCAAGTAGTCATCCAGAGAAAACTTGTCATTGTCCCATATCTGAATGATCAGTCTGGGTGGGACTCGGAATTCCGTTTGGTCAATGCTCCAGAAATGCTCCTGAAATGGAAAGAGACATGGACAAACCGAATAACTCTGATGACTGGACTCCAAAAGCCTCCCCTGGGCTCCTTGAAACAGCACCAGGGCAGGGGGCGTTTTCTCTCCTTTGCACCTCCCCCCTCACGCCCTCCCGCTGGCCCCCTCCATCCGCCCCATGTGTGGAGAGGGGAGTCCAGTTCCCCAGGAAATCTCAAGGCCACCAGCTGGGTGACTAAAAGGATGTCCCAGGCAGTTCCCAAACAGGTTTCCTGCCATATTCCTATCAGTGTGACTTCCTGCTGCCACCCGGGGGCTGGGGAGTGACCAATTTCCTCCCTAAAGGCCACTGTGACCAGCTTACATTAGCCTCCTGAGGCCAGGTGTTCTAAGTGAGGCCACGGTATCACCCTGGGGTGTCACCTCTGCCCACCCCACATGGATGTCTGAGTGTATGCTCGTTTTACGTGGGGGTGAGGGACTGGGGTCCAGACACCATTCTTTCATCATTATAAATTTCTAATGTCCTAGCATTTTTGGCTTTTGAAAACCTCCACTGGCTTTTCTACGCATGTGGTCATTTAGACCTTCCGATCTCACAGGAGAGGCGGGTGGGGAGAGGCTTAGATGAGGTCCTCCAGATTCCTCCCTCTTGTCCCGGCCTCTGCCCAGGCAATATTAGCCAAGACTAACACCGCCATGGCTGTTACACCTACAAGACGTGGGCCCCGTTAGAAAGGGAGCTCTTCCACAGAGCTGCGTGGACTGGAGGGAGGGCCACCACGTTGCTCCTTGTTTCTCATGCTACAGAAATGTCCTTCCTTTGCAGGGCCCTGAAGGCCTGGCTCTGTGGGGCTGGGAAGCTCACCCTGCTATTGTCTGACCCTGCCTGACTGTCCTCTCTGGGTTGGGCTCTGAGTACCACTCAGGGCATGGGGAGTTCCAGCCCTAGATGAGGATAAACAGGAAAGGTAACTTCCCTAAAGGCCCACCTGACCCCAAATCCCTTCCTCTTACCCTCATCCTATTCTACCTCACCATCTTAAAGCAACTATGATTTGTATCTCACTGTCTCTGGGCCTCTAGAAAATCCACTCCCTCCCCTTGTTTATGGAGAGGGCACGAGCGCTTGCCAGAAAGGCAGAGACAGAAAGAGAGAAATCACCCCCCAGGGGGGAAGGTCACACCGCAACCCCTTCTCCTCCATTCTCTCCAGATCTTGGGCATGCACACACATATGCCCAGTGTGAGTTTAGCCACTGGGTCTGGGACTCGAACCGTGGTCAACTACACGGGAGTCCAGTAACATAGCCCTTACGCCAACTACTGGTCCTTAGAAAATCCCTTTTGAAGGTATTAATCCCATCTGACCTGGAAAAGTGCACAGCATCAGCACGGAGCGGGGCCAGCAGAGGGTAAGGCCTGGGCTGATAGGACATGGGGCAGGTACACTTTGCTCAGATGTAGGGAGAGGGGATGACCAGGCAGAATTAGGGAAAGCTGTTAGAATATGGGAGGTAGGAACAGCACAGGGGACCCAGAGAAGACATCTGTTACTGTTGCCTACCTACATTCCAGCTCCCATTTTCAGATGAAAGCACCCAGATTTTCCCTGGGTGACTTTCCACTGCAGTTCATGCAATCTGAGAGGGGCTGGGGCTGACCACTCAGAGTCCCAGAGCCTGGCTGGTCAGTACAATGCACCCCTGGGAAACAGTGACTAGTTCCGGCACAGGCACATGGCCCCAGTGGGCAGAGGCACGGAGACCCAATTCCAGAGCTCTGGGTGGTATCATCGCCCTCGGTTCAGCTCCTTCTGCTGAGGTTTGCCAAGCAGACCGGATGTGAGCTGGGGCTGCTGGCAGCCATCTTGTCTCCACCAGGCAGAGCCCATCTGGAAGTGAGGCCCACAGAAGACCATAAAGGAGAGAGGTGGAGAAATGAGACTAATTTCTAAAGACATCACTTCTCTGTGGGATCTCGATGTTCCTAAAGCCAGCCAACTCTGGACTGTTTAGTAATGTGAATCAATAAATCACTTTTTGGTATAAGGTAGTTTGAGTTGAATTTGGTAACTGAAAGTCTTACTAAATAGGACCCCAAGGGCTCTGAACCACCTCCCCCCCCACCAGAAGTGCCTCTAAAGGAAGTAAAACAGACACTGAAGTTTAATGAGGAAGGCAAACGTTCACCTACTTTAATATTTGCCTCTGTTTTTGTCTATCATGGGAAGAAATCATCCTCCCTATCACATAAAAAACACACGTGAGCTGTTGTATATACTGATACAAGGCCTTCATTTCTACCTTCTACCCTCCACCCTGCCACCAATATGTTAAGAAGGAAAGTTGTGGCCATTCTACAAATGCCCGGCATAGCTGTGTGAGCCTAGGCAATGTCTACACCTCCGTAGGTCTCCGATTACCAACCTCCGTCAGGAGGAGCTGGACCCAGAGGGCTGCCCGGCCCTGAGCAGCTCCAGCATTCTATGCTTTGTGAGTTAGGGGAGACCCAGGACATCCACGACATCCACTTCCCACGGGCGTATTACAGAGCTCACTTTTTTAGCAACGATACAGAGTTGCTCGGCTGGGAGGTAGTCAAATGGGAAAACGAATCTCCAGTTGAAATTCCCTTCACCATCCAAGGACCTGTAATGGACATCTGTTTTCTGTTTGTTTTCTTCATTGCCAGGAATCCAGCTGAAAAGCAGAGGCAAACAGACTTAGCTTCATGTGATTGACAAGTAACCTGGCTACGAAACTGAGCAGTGATGAGGGGAGTGAAGAGCAGGAAAATGAATGCACTTTTCTTGAGCAGGTTCCAGTTATCTACAGAGCTGGGGGTGATTTATGAGGGGGGGTGCTCAATTGTATCCAACGCAGGTTATAGCCAAATAAAATAGAATTCCACTAAAACCAAAGCAGGAAACCCTTTAGACTTCAGTTAACAGGATTGAGGTGGTGTTTTCTGGAAAATATCAACAACGTGGCTGCTATTCTCGGTGCACCGGAGCTTACTGGCTATGATTTTAGTCTTCACAGCTATAACTCATCGGTGTCTGTCAGCACTGCTGATAGGCTCAGTGAATATGAGTTAGCTCAGCATGTTAGCATTCTCGTTCCCATATTTTACTTAAGCAAACCAAAAAAGGCACGAATCAAGTCATCTTCCAGCTTCCTTTTAAAAATCATTCTTAAATTCACTGTGATCAGATTAATGAGACTGGCAAGGAAGAGGTAAGCTGTTTTTTCCATATGCGTATCTCTTAAAATTCATTTCAGTAACAAGTCACCATCTGAATTTTTAACATTTGAAAAATGTTCCTTTGGCTCGTGCCTGGCACAAAAACAGATACTAAATAAATAACAAACGAATGAACATGCTTGGGAGGAAGTTATCACGTTTGCCCTGTACTAAAAAGTGTCCTGCTTTAGATCTGGGGTGGGAGGGGTGGCATTTTATTTTAGACTGCCAAAGGGGTAGAAAGCGTGGGTCTTGACACTGCATGTTAGAATGGCAACTAGCAAGCTTTTAAAAATACTGATGCCTGGACCCTACCCCAGCTAGACTCTCGGTGGGAGGCAGGCCTGGCTGAAACTCTCGGAGCCTCATCTCCCATCTGTGAAATGAGATCGACGGGGTGTGCTCCCTTTACGTGGTCCACATGAGGACAGGACGAGAGATCCTGGCAGAGTTGGAAGGGGGAGATCTTTAACTCATGCTCATGATCGCCATGTATGAACCAGGTCCTGGCATGTGTTATTCTTTCCAACCATCGTGTAACGTTCTCCATTTCACAGATGCTCATACTGAGGTTCGGAGAAGATATATTAATTTAGGCAAGGTCACAAAGCCAGTACCGGACAGAATTAAGCTTTCCTCCCTGGTCAGTCTGACTCCCGCGTCCATACCAGATACTCTGCCTCAAGGCCCATGGAGACTATGAAGTGACAGTGCTAATATTAAGTCCTGCTATTTTAGGGGTATTAATATCAATCAACTGCAATAGTTTTCCTTCTTGCTAGTCAGTGAGTTGACGAGATAAACTAGTGGAAAGATTCCTTCTGACTGCTAACTTTTAAACTAAGTCACTGAGAATTTTCCTTCTCTTGGATATGATCTTGGGCTTCACCTTGTGCATGTGTAGTGTCACCGTCATCTTATCCCCAGACTGCTCATCCCCTGCAGCTCTCACTCCCTTTTTGTCTGTGAGTCTTTTCACATTTGATTTCAAACATGAATTTTTTTCACATTTTAAGACAAGTTAACTTAGCCAAGTATAGGCATGTGTGTGCATGCACATGTGACTTTGTATGTAATACCCATGTGTGTAGTGCCAGGGAGATGTAAGTATTACTCACCTTTTCGCATAGTGTATAGATTTTAATGACAAATTTTACATTCTACGTTAGGCTGAGCTTTACTTTTTTTGTGTTTGTCAGAGGGTGTGTGTGCTTGCCAGAGAGAGATAGAGAGATATCGAGAGAGGAAGAGGGAGAAAGCATCCCTCCAGTGGGGCATGGCCATACTGCAACCCCCCTCCTCCATTTCTCTATGTTATTGAGACTTAGGACATGCGTGCACATACACACACACACACACAATCTGGAATGTTTCTTAAGCTGCTGGGCCCAGGACTCAAACAGCATGGTTGGCCATGTGGGATCCTGCTACCTTAACCACCAGGCTAAGGAGCTGGCCCTACTTTCTGACTAGAGACTTTTTTCAATCCAGTATTGAGACTTTTTTTTTACTTGATTTGAAAAAAAAATAATAATGCTTCCGATAGTCAAATAAATTTGCATATATATAATTAGCTGGGATTAGTTTTCCTTGGGGAATGGTAATGAGATCCTAAAATGAGAAAGAATAATGAAGAACTTGATGAAACATTCCCTGTGTACAGCGAACCTAAATGATAGTAATTATGTCTTTAACGAAGTTTTGATTGAAGGCCACTTGGGATCATAAGTGAAACTTTGTTCTCACTTTATGAATACATTACACTTCAGCAAGTCTTATTTTTCACATATCAAGAAACCAAATTCATCCATGAGGACTAGCAATAATTCTAGCTAACACCACATAGTGCATAGTATCCTCCCAGACTCTGACCTAACGGCTGTGAGGACCTGAACCTTCTGGCTATCCCTGGGAAGTAGGGACCACCACGATACCCATTTTACAGATGAGGAACAGTGAGCTCACCACCTTGCTCAGCTAGGAGGGGAAGAACCAGGACCTCAACCCAGGTGGTTTGACACCAGAGTCAGCCTTTTTAATTATGATGCCTACTGCGCTCAACATTCATGATCAGACAGCATGGGATGAACATCGCTATGAGCTGCATGATTCAACATAACTGAATTATGCAAGACAGAACAATGACACTTTACATGTTGAATGTGGGCATGCAGTGAATTTTGATGGGATGAATGCTCTCTGTTGTTTTTGAAATCTGCCCATGTTTCGCCTTTTGCATGGACATTGGCTTCTGGTAATGACATATATAGGAAAAGAAATAGTGAAAGATTTTGTGTGTTTCTTAGGATAATTAGTCAAGGTTTCAAAGAGGAATACAAAGAAAAAGGAAACTACATGGCTGAAATGTCTCAGAAATAGCAAATCTGGGTGAGCCCGAGCTTGGTGGTTATATTGGATCTCACAGAGCTGACTGCATGCATCAAGGCCCAATCTGGCAGCTTAAAAAGTATTCTGGGTATGTGTGTGTGTGTAGGTGTGTGTGTGTGTGTGTGTGTGTGTGTGTGTGTGTGTGTGTGCGCATGTGTGCCCAAAATCCAGAAAGGAGAGACAGATAGAGGAGAAGGGACTACAGTGTGACCATGCCTCATGCGAGGTGCTTTCTCTTTTCCTCTCTGTCTAAATCTCTGGTGAGTGGACATGCACTATGGCAAATTAAAAAAAAAAAGAAATATATTAATAAACTGAGGAAAATCTACTTTATTAAAAGAGAAGCAAAGAGGGACCAGCAGATGGTGCAATGGCTATGTCACTGGACTCCCATGTTGACTGTGGTTCGAGTCCCGGACCTGGTGGCTAAAACACACGCCAGGTGCATGTGTGTGCATGCCCAGGATCCCGAGAGGAGAATGAAGGAGAAGGGATTGCAGTGTGGCCGTCCCCTCTGGGGGGATAATTTCTCACTTTCTGTCTTTCTGGCGAGTGCATGCACTCTATGGCAAAAATCTTCCAAGAAAAGAAAGAGAAGCAAAGAAATACTGATCCTTTCTTATGATTCGATACCTCTACTCATGAACAAGGTCCTTACAGGTTTCTCTTTTCTTTCTGTCCTCTCCCTCTTGGTCTAGGAGCTACCTAAGCAGATCAGGCTAATGAGATAAAATAGGTTCAAATAACCAAGAACCCCACGGTGGCACCTTCAGTGATGAAAACGAATGGAGGCGTGGGTCTGTTTCATTCCCTGTGCAAACCTCACCCTTTGACATAGATGTCACTCATTTCTTCTCCTGTGATGCTTTTCTCATCCAGGATGACGTCCTTGGTGTTCCAGATAATCACGCGCAGGTAGTACCTGAAAGGAGCACATTATATGGAGCTGCTTTTGCTTCTGGCCTTGCACCAACTCCCCAGTCCAGAATAGCAGAGACTCAAGATTACTTACTTCTTGGCTTTCCGGGGTGTGATGTTGAAAGGAGGGCCCGGTGGCCCCAAACTCTTGGGGAAAACATCAACCCACATCTGAAGTTTCCCCTAAATCATTCAAAAGTGAAAAAAGGAGTGAAGTTATATGATGAGTAGTAGAAACCATAACTTTCTTCTGTAGTTCTTAGGTGAAACTATTTCTTTGGGCCTGCTAATTCGTTAGTTTCTGTGGAAGGCAGAGTGGAGCAGAAGGGCACACCAGATGAATCCCACCTGTCATAGCGTTTAGGCCACCGTTTTCCATGCTCACCCAGGGAACTCTGATAAATGCATGCACTCACCTGTTTCACAGTCTGGGTCTTTATACGATGTAAGACTCCCCAGTACTAACCCAACACATACACACACACACACACACACATCCTCTTGCTATAACTTAAAACTGAGCCCTTACCCATAACAGATCTCATGCTGTTACCTGTTCACAGACACACTGCCTATGTGCTATCAGACCAGGTTTGTGACCTCCAAGGGTTTCTCCACTTACCTCAAAATGATAAAAATCAAAGTAATGTACATGGAATTCAATGTCATAAAAGACATATACATGCCGCTTTCAAAGGAAGGACTCGATGATGGGAACATTCCTGTCACCGTAAGGTGAGGATTCCATGCCATCGGCTCACTAGTGCCCACCCTGGTGCCAGGTGAGAGACTCGCAGGAGGCGGCCAGCAAAAGCTCAGACTGACACTTGTGCCGCCATCTTGGTGAGGTCTTGCTCAGCTCTTGGACTGCCACAGACTGGGTCCATCCATCTGACTGAAATGTTCTCCCAGACAGGCTAGGAATGCTATTTAAAAACTATATCAACCATGCAAACCAATTTATATTCTCCAAACTGTTTTTAGATGGTCTGTAGACTCTGCCTTCAGACAAAAACAGACTGGTCTTCAAGAAGGTTGTCAAGGAAACCGCTAGACGGGCTTCCTAATGCATTGTGATTGAAATGAATTAACTGGAACACTTGAAAAGGGATGTATTTTACTATGATCCTGACGCTCTCCAACTAATCTCTAGGGCTCAAGGCTCCCCCATACATCAAGCACTCCACAGACCATGCGGCGTCCAGGTGTCTCCTAAGGCCCAGCCACAGTCTGTGTGTAGGGCTGTAGACAGAAGCGATAAGGGGAGGGGTAGCTTGCAGATTCCCGGAGAGACATTTTCCCCACTTTGTCACTCTTGAGACTCCTTATATAATGGAGGAGCGAGAGGAGAAAAATAGGTTCTTTGGTGGGAGGAAGAAGAATAGGAAAAGAAACAAAAATTTGGAACGGAAAAAAGCTAGATGCAATTGACAAAATAATCTAATAAACCCACTCCATTTGTGGCTTCTCTTCTGCAATAGGTTCATCTCTAGTTTTGCTGCCAGTGTTGACAATATTTGCATCTACTATATTATTGGGTCATTAGAAAAGTCATGATGTGGGGCTGGTAGGTGGTGTGGTGGTTAATCATGGCTGACCATGGTTCAAGTCCAGGACCTGGTGGCTTGCTTTCTCGCTCTCTCCCATCAAATTAAATAAATAAAAAAATAAAAAAATAAATGTTTTAAAAATCATGATGCATTTTTACATAGAAAACTATGTCATGACTTTTCTGATGACCCAATAATATTTCTTTTATTTTTTAAACTTATTTTTGGCATGTACACTTGCCAGAGACAGAGAAAAGGAAAGTTAGAAAATTCCTCCTGGGGGGATGGCCACACCACAATTACCTCTCTTCCATTTTCCTCTTGGGATCCCAGGCAAATATGTACACACACATAGCATGTTCCCCAAGCCTCCAGGTCTGGAACTCGAACTGTGCAGTTGGGCATGTGAGATCTGGTGACCTCAAACACCATACCACCTGCTGGCCCTAGATTCATATTTTTTTAAGTGTGATCTCCTAGCTATCTGCGTCAGAATTTCTCCTGGTACTTGCTCAAATCTTCTCTAGATTCCTAGTCCCAACCTAGACCTGCTGGATCAAACCTCTGCAGGCACAGCCTGGAAATCTTCATTATAACAGGCTCCCATACAGATGATCTTGTAATTGGCCATGCCTCGCCTTGCTCCTCTGGAAGCTGCTCCCTGTCTTCTGAGAACCGAGTCTCCCTAACACTATCCACTGGTTTCCGTGCCTTGCCCTCCTTCTCTGACTCTGTAGTCTCAGAGGACACCTCCTCTCCTGGCTGGGCCAAGTGCACACTCTCCAAACCCTGCCCTCCTGGCTGCACTGAATGGTGAACTGAGCCAAGGTTGGGTGACCGGTCTCTGTGGGTTTAGAAGTATTAACAGATGAGACTACACTATAATCCAGCAACTCTCAGGAACTGCCTGTAATATTCAAACTCACAGCAAGAAAGCACGTGGAATAGACTCACAGGGAGAACAGAGATGAGAGACAAGGAGAGATTCTATCCTAGCTCTAGTTCATCCTAAGTTGTGGCCAATCTCCTGTCTGGATTTAGTGAACCCTCTTGCCATAAATTCCTCTTTAGGATGCAGTTGATTTGTGTTTCAAGGACTCAAACAAGATTAAAGAGGTAAATCTGTGTCCACTTTGGATGTGGGGTATGTACGATGGGTCTTCAAAGGAGGAGGCCCCTTTACCTGGGAAATATTGGGCTGGAAGGTGCTGTGCAAAGTCCTCGTTTCCACGTGCTCGGGGACCAGCCCCTGAGTCCTGAGGATATGAAGGGCGAGACGTTCTTCGGGGGCCCCAAGGTGCTGGTGTAGGATTTTGTTGGCTTCTGGAATGGAAAATGGCGCTGAAACAGGGTGGGCGTCTGGGAACGGCTCAGCCAGCTCTTCCTCCCACACTTGGCAGAAATGGACAGACAGTGCCGATGTACAGACTTTGACTCGAGAGAGAATAGTTAACAGGAACAGCTCCTGGCCCCACCCCGGCTCCTACCCAACTTGTGGTCTGCTAGTAGCAAAGGGACCAGAACTCACTAGAATGAGTAAGGGGAGAGTCTGTATTGGTTTTCGTGGCATGGGCTCACAGCTAGCCTCTGTCTCTCAGCGCCCCCTACAGTAAATGTTGCCATGCAACCAAGCTCAGCTAGAGCAACGTGGGTGGAGAAGACATGTGTATCCCCTCCAGACCTGGCCGGAGAAGAGGTGTGCATCACCTCCAGACCTGGCCGGAGAAGAGGTGTGCATCACCTCCAGACCTGGCTGGAGAAGAGGTGTGCATCCCCTCAAGACCTGGCTAGAGAAGAGGTGTGCATCACCTCCAGACCTGGCCGGAGAAGAGGTGTGTATCACCTCCAGACCTGGCCGGAGAAGAGGTGTGCATCACCTCCAGACCTGGCCGGAGAAGAGGTGTGCATCACCTCCAGACCTGGCCCGTGAATCCCTGCCTTGAAGGAGTCTCCAGGCACTTTTCTCTTTTGGATACTGATAAGAACAACAGCCTTTGATGCCTGAACTGAAGAACGATAGAGCTGTAAGTTGGAAGGGCCCTGAGTCCATGAAGCTATGCTTGGAAGAGGGTCACGCAGTTCTAAGAACTCCTGGTTTAAACTAATGAACGAGACTAGCAGATGGCGTAGTGGTTATATTGCCGACTCCCACGTAGTTGGCTGTGGTTCAAGTCCTGGACTCAGTGGCTTAAAACTCATGTCGGGGGACCAGAAGATGGCGTGGTGGTTAAAGCTCTGAACATTCCCACATGGCCAACCACAGTTTGAGTCCTGGACCTGGTGGCTTGCTTTCTGACTTCCACTCTCTTTCTCTCTCTCTCTCTGTCAAATTAAAAATAAATGAATAAATAAAATTAAATAATTATTGGGAAAAAAAGAAAACCCAAAAACCAACAAGCTCATGTTGGATGTGTGTGCGTGTGTGCCCACAATCCCAAGAGGAGAAAGGAAGAGAAGGGATTGCAGTGTGGCCATCTCCACTGGGTGTGATTTCTCGCTTTCTGTCTGTCTCTGTCTCTCTGGCAAGCACACACGCTCTATAGCAAAAAAATCTCTCTGGAAAATAAAAAAGAAGAAACTAATGGGAAATTAACTTCTATTGTGTTAAGTCATTGAAATTCAGCAGTTTGATTGTTACAGCAGTTAGCATCACCGTGACATTCTAAAATCTATTCTCTGCCTCTTCTCCCGGTGAGAGCTGAGGTCTATGTTCTACCCCTTTAAATCTGGAGAGCTATCCCAATGTAGGAAGAGGATGCTGCGTTCCTTCCGAGGACAGGCGCAAAACCATGCAGCTCCTGCCAAGTTCTCTGCCACACTCATGTGGGGGAAGCCATCCACCATGTAAGGAGCCTGAGGATCCAGAGACTGGCCCTTAGAGAGGCCCTGTAGGGAGCCAGCAGGTGGCGTGGTGGTTAAGGTGCTGGACTCCCACATGGCCAACTGCAATTTGAGTCCCAGACCCAGCATCGTGCTTTCTCACTTTCCCTTTCTCTCTGTCTCTGTCTCTGGTGAGCACATGAGCTCTATAGCAAATTGAAAAGTAAAAATAAATAACAGTAGAAGAAAATAAGTAACAATAACAGAGAAAGGCTTGTGTAAGTGCACCACGTGAGCCCCGGCTGAGAGCCAGCATCAACTGCTGGCCTCCGTGTGAGCCTCCTTGGCCCTCTCCGTGGCCGAGCCTTAGGACGGCCGCAACCCCAGCTGACACCCCACTGTAATCACACGGTGAGACCCCACGCAGAGCTGCTCGGCCAAGCCCTTCCTGAATTCCTGACCCACAGAACTATGAGCCAGACAAGATGGGTGTTTTCAGTTGTGATGGTCTGTTATATAACGCAAGTGGCTGGGACAATCCCCAGGACTGATACAGTGTTTTGGGGGAACACTGTATTTGATTATTTGGTGAGACCTTAACCATGAGACCATATTGCTTCTAGTTTATTCCAAATCATTTTTTCAAGTTTACATACTAAAGGCACCATCAACATTTCTTTAAAAAAATGAATTAACTAAGTTCTTAATTTCTTCCATGAGTAAGAGACAGAAAGAGAAACAACACCCCCCATAGGGTCCTGACACCCACTGAACTCAGCTAGCCCTGGATCATGGGTGGCAAAGCTCAGCACACTCAGGGAGGTCTCCGGATGTGAAGCTAGAACCTCTGCTGATGGGTCAGTGTCACAGGGTGCTGATTCAGCACTGTGCTACTGTCTGACCCTGACACGAACATTCCTAAACCATCTAATCGTCCCTGATATTAAGTCCTTTTCTATTCATATACTGAAAATCACATTACACCTTTTTAATATGTAAAGTTCTGTTTCTATTTAAATGTGGGACCAGCAGATGGTGTAATGGTTATGTCACTGGACTTCCATGTAGTCGACCACGGTTCAAGTCCTGGATCCAGCAGCTTAAAACTCACACCAGGCACATGAATATGCGTGCCCAAAATCCTGAGAGGAGAATGGAGAAGGGATTTCAGTGTGGCCATCCCCCCTGGGGGGTGATTTCTCGCTTTCTGTCTCTCTGACTCTCCAGCAAGCATACATGCCTAATAGCAAAACAACTCTCACACACACACAAAATTGTTAAATGGGCCCGGCCTCTGTGGTGTACTTGGTAGCACAGAGAGCTGCAGTGCTGGATGCCATGTGGCCAGTTGTGGGTTCTAATCCCCAGCCCAGTCACCCTGAAACACTGGGAGTGTGCCCCAAATCCTAACAAGCTGGAGGGCCGGAGGAAGGGGACTGTAGCGTGCCCAGAGCTGTCGAGGCCCTCTCTCTCTCACACGTGCACTGTCAGGTAGATAATGTTGTTTCTTACAACCAAAGGTCAAGCTGGGGGTCAGGAAGCATTTTGACTCCTGTTGTGTCTTTGTTCAGCTCTTCCTGGATATCCCCCAGACCAGTCCGACCACCACCACCTCAGAAATCCCTCTTCCCTACGGAACGAGGAAGCAAGCCATAACTCTGACATTCTGTGAGGCTCCTGTCTGGCTTCGTCACTACAGCCACCATCTCTGTGTCAGGACAGGTGCTTTGACAAGTTACTGCTGGGAAGAGGAGGACGCCAAGCATGGGTGTGAGAAAGACGAGAACTCAGCAGGCTCTCCGAGGTTCTCAGGAAAGGGCTGGAGTAAGCGATGGACTCAACTTGGAAGGGCAACGCGTGCACTACCATCTAGGCATTGTGAGCGAACTATGCATTAGGTGGAAATGAGCTAGTTAC